CCCAGCATGCCGTTGTGGCCTTGTTCTGCCATGCTTAAATAACTGCGCACGTCAGCCTTCCATACTGATGACATGTCAGCGACATGCCATATGTCGTCAGTGTTCCCAGGAAGCTGTCATAGAAAGTATGTGTCTTTACTGCGTGGACTATTCCCGGTGCCATCACCCTCCACATCCTCTCCTATAGCATTTCCCACATGCGGTGTTGGTCATACTCCTACGGCAACCGCACACAGATCTCCCTCTTCCTTGCCAGACGAACGACAGACACAGCAACCCGAGAACGAAAATAGACTTCTATATGAACCATCTGCAGTGCGATGTGCTGATAGTTTGTCACCACCAGGACGAGCTGTTGCGGACCGAATCCCGCCCGCAGCAGCTGAACACCCTTGCTTTGGACCGATCCTCCCTGTCGTCGTCTGCGCATAGAGAAGGAATAAATACCGAGGAAACCCAAGAAAGATGCTCCATGCCGCTTTGTGATGACCCGCAGGAGTTTCAACTAGCATGTGGTTCGCATGCCTTGTTCCGTGAGGATTATGAAGGGATAGTCCATGCGAGTTTTTGCTTTCATACGTACGCTGACAGTCAGTACTGTACTCATGTACGGCACCGTGACATGTCGTGTCCAATTTGTAGACAGGGGCTGGAACGGCAATTCCTCTATAACTGCGGCCGATGTGCTTCCGTGTTCCTAGTAGCATGTAGGAGCCACGTAGCCTGTGACATCTGCCTGCGCCGCGCCATTCGAGGCAGCAACTGCGACTGCGGAAATCGGATGCGGTGCTTCCATAGGCCACACACGAACCGGTCCTGTCTGGTCTGTAGGGGTGGCCACTTGCCATAGGCAATAGCTGCTGCTCAACTCAAAATCTTATGCAACCCAAACACTTCACCTACCTCATGTGCCATTCTAGAGTAGTCTGTTCCAGCAGTGAGTGCTTAGAGTTCTGCGAAGTTCGTCATACACCTCTCCCCTGCCCTTTGCATGTCATACTCTATCCTTCCCTTCACATATTTCTCTCCCAGCCTTTGCCCTCCATCTCCCCCTACCGCACACTCCTAAAGAACTCTGCATTCTATTCCTTTCCCTCTACCCTCCCCTCCACCCTCCCCTCCACCCTCCCCTCTTTACGAGCAAACATATACGAATGAGCATTGTTAAGAGAACAGACGATATGAAGATCAGAACTGAAATAAACAGGAGTATGAAGATCTGAAGAGAAACGCACAGGAGCATACCTTCCCTTTTACTCTGCCTCCTGTTATAACGTGCAAGTGGGCCGTTAAGGCACATGGGGATGTGGGCAGCTGCCGCTCAAGGTTCAATTATGATTCATGTTGCTTGCTAAAGAGGTGAATTCTTTAGTTGTTGGGCTGGCTCAACTCGAATATACTTGTCTGGGTGGAATAGGGGCTGTTGTGGTGGAAACTTACAACCAACACACACACACACACACACACACACACACACACACACACACACACACACACACACACACACACACACACTGTTACATGCTGCGCGTGCACACGCGGGCCATTTTTCAGGCCCTGCGTCCTTCAGGCCAAAAGCCTGAATTTCAGGCCGAAAGCCTGAAATCCAGGGCTTACAGGCCCCATGTCGGATCAGGCCGAAAGCCTGAATTCCAGGGCCACAGCCCCTATGTCGTTTCAGACTAAAAACGGCAACAGCCCTTTTAGCCTGAAACGAAGGGCCATTTTCATCAGAACGACCGGCCCTGAAACTCAGGCACCGAACCAGGGTTTCGGAACAGGCTATTCTTAGCCTGTTCCCCACGCCAGCCTCAGCAGGCTGCTGCACGCCAGCCCCTGGCACACTTCGGCATTGGCAAGAGCTGCCTCCTCGGCCTGGCTCGCCCTTCAGCAGTCAGGGGGCAGGCCGAGGTAGTACATAGGGACTTCCCATGCACTTCACGGGGAGGCAGGAGGCAGTTGTAGTCTTCAGGATTCGGGAGCAGCACTCTGGAGGGAGCGCTGCAGAGTAGTAGTAGCGTTAGCTTCTAGTCTTCAGCGCTGGGCGCAGTAGGTAGCTGTAGTCTCCAGTGCTGGGCGCCATAGCTAGGATAACACTAGAGAGAGAGGGAGATTGGGCGGAGGCCAGAGGTACTTACCTGCAGCGCCGTTGCTCCAGCTTCGTCTTCGAGGTACCTGCAGCACAGCGCCAACATCACAGGTCAGTATCTGGCTCGTAATAGTGAGGGAGAGTTTTCTTCCTCTTCTCAGTCCACCATCTCCTTCTCCCCCTCTCAACATCTGACTTCACTGCATCTGCAGACTAAGAGAGAAGAGAGACAGAGCTTGGTGACATCGGATCCAGACTCGACTTTTGGGACTTCAGACATGGCAACGAGGGATTATTTGGGATTGGTGACAAAGACTTGGTGTTGACGACATTCCCATCTCTCTCCCTCCTTTCGTCTGATTCCTTCCTCTTCGTCTGTGTATGTCTGGACCTGGCGCTTTCTTCCTGTGTACACCGCCAGGCTCCTTCACACCTGGTGAGGGATACGATGTATGTTTGGTCTGAGTTCAAACATTGATTGGGCTAGTTATTAGCATTCTAGCATTCTGCTTCGCTACTTTGTACTACGTGAATGAGGTCAGTCCCGGTCAGGTCAGTCTTTGTATTTAAGTCTTCCCTGCGCTATTCGGCACCATTATGTATGTATGAGAATGCACATTGCTTGTCGAGAGTCTATTCGCACCGCATTGTCCATTCAGTCCTTTTCATCACGTTGCAGATCCTCGGTTATTACGTACATTGCATATCTGTGCATGTAACACACACACACACACGCACACACACACACACACACACACACACACACACACACACACACACACACACACACACACACACTCTTCACGAGTCGGTGAAAGTCCAACAAAACAGTGTGGCACAGTCGTGCTTTTTTCTTAAAGAAAGAAAAAAAAAAAGCAACAACGCTAGGGACGTGAAAACAGCCGAATGCAGAATCTGGGGTACATGTGAGAATATGCACTCCCAACGGGCGTTACAGCCCTGCTGAAATCACGGCAGCAGGGAAAAAAAAGAGAACAACAACAACAAAAAAAAAGCAACAACTCTTTGGACGTGAAAGCATCTAGATACAGAATCTGGAGTACATGTGACAGTATGCCCTCCGAACGGGCGTTGCAGCACTGCTGTAATCACACAAGCAGAAGTACAAAAAAAAAAAGAAAAAAGAAAAAAAGCAACAATTCTTTTTTGGACGTGAAAGCAGCTGGATACAGAATCTGGAGTACATATCAGAATGCGCTCTCCATTGCGGTTGAGGAAGCTCAACGCAATATCTGCACATTTCCTCAAACACGTCCAGATTCAGGCGTTGAGGAAAAACTGAACGCCGGAAGTGGGACTTGGCCCCTGCAATCCAAAAGACTTGAAAAACATTCAAAGGTTCAAACTTCGAACTTTGAAAAAAGTCAATGGGTTAGGTGACAATACAACTGTCCCCCATATGAGGAGAAGACAGGTGTACTTTTTCTATTAAAAAAAAAAGAAAAAAAGTCAAAGAGTCCAAGCTTCAAAATAATTTAAAGCTCGGGGGTTGCATGTGTAGCGTCATCGACATAACAGCTAGATTCCTCACACAGTACCATTGACCAATGCAGACTTATGGAGCAGAGAGTTGGCCGTGTCACGCAGAAACTTGGCGTATGGCACACGGGCTGGTGGAGGATCCGATGAAACGACAACAACGCTAGCACGCAGTTTGGAATGTGCACAAGCACCTGGCCGTACTCTGTGGGACTCTGCAGCGACTCTCTGACGGCTGCAGGCAGCTACCTGAGGTAGAAAGTTGGTGCGCTTAGTGGCGTCTGGCACCTGTACTGCACATCTTATACTCTGAGCTAGGTGTGGGAGAAAACGGCACACGGCTCAGTCGTAATTAACGATGTTGTGTTCTCGAACTCTTTTAGTGAGTTACAACGCTCGGAGGCCGGAAGTTTGAACACGAGACTACCGCCTATTATTGCAGACACAGGGCGTAGTCAAAGTCAGCGGCTCGAACTGCAATCTCGTATCGCTGATATTAACTGTAGAAAGCCCCACCGGTTGCTTGCTCTAGGTCCAGAGACGGAGCCCAACGGGAGGCTCCATAAATAAGTGTGAACAGCTAAAACGCAGTCTGCGTATCCGAATCAAGATCTGAGAATCGCACCCTCGGGTGTCGTTCAGACTGGAAACAGGCGCTATCCCGGACGGCTACCACACATAAATTTGAAGCCAGGCTTTCCTTTGAGACTTTGTGACATCTTTCACACGTAGTAGTGGTGGGTCACAGGCACAACCAGATGGTATTGAAGAAGATCGACCGATATTCTCACCCCCCCAGGTCCGACAACGCACAGACGTGCGTGGTATGTGCACATGCCAACAGAAACTGCTGCTGCACGGTAGAGTCCGATGCAAATGTCTACCGATGTGGAGGTGATGCAAAGCTCTGCGGTACTTATAGCCAAGTCGTCACTGGCAATGAAGAAAGGGCTGCTCGTGTAGCGACGATCCGATGCGACTGTGTACCCATGTGGAAGCAATATATCCATGTGGAAGCAATGTGCAGTCTATGGGCAAAAAACTCAGCTGTACTTCTATCCAAGCCATCGCTGGCAAGGGGAGGAGCGAGGAATGGGGAGGAAATGAAAGAACAAGAGTGAGGGAGTAGATAAGGACAAAGAAAGTTATGATGATAATGAGAGCTTGGTCAGGGAGAAGGCACGATCCCGTAGAGAGTAGCAAAAAAGCGGCAAAGGGGGTCGCTAAGCGCGACGATTGCATCCTCTGGAGTCCCTGGAGGTGCCTTAGGTTCTGTTGGTGCTGTGGGGTCGGACGTCTGGGTGCTAGATCAAACGGACACTTTTTGGGCCCTCTCGCAGCGGTGCTGGGACGCTGTGCTCGACTTTTGCTCCTGTTGTTACCGTTGCTCGGTCCACTGGCTCTGGGACATTTACCTCTGTTCCATGACGCCAACAACAATGGGCAAACGGCGATGGAAATGCTGATTAGTGGCTTGACAGATGATTGGTCCAGTCCTCCGGAGCCGGATGGCCAGCACCTCTCCGTTGACTCGTACAAGAGCTATACCACACGACAAAGAAAAGAGGGAAGACCTCAATGGGCAGAGGAAAGTGGGATGTCAATAGGTAAAGCAAGTTTGGGGAGAGTGTATTGGACTAATGAGAGACAAAAGAATGTGCGTAGAAGACAGGATGGACCCAGCAACTTGGAGCACAACCTGTCACAGATGGTTGTGTCGGTGGATAGTGCACTTACGTCCCAAATTGACAACAACAACAAATCTAGGGATCGAGTAGAGGAGAATGCCGATCTCGTAGAGGAGAATACCGATCTCGTAGAGTCGTCATCGACAAAGATTACGACTTCACAACACTCCACAGCAGCTGCTACGACTCAGGCTGAGAACAACAAACTTGTTGGAATGAATTCAAACAGGACGGCAGAGCCAGATATGCTAATGCTAGAAAGAGGTAAGGTTGGCGACGAGGTCCTCATCAACAACTCAAGGATCCCATCCCAGGTACATGTCACCGTTTCAGTGGAGCGGAACGGGGAGAACGTGGAGGAGAAGAGAAGGAACTGGGTGGAAGAGGAGTCGTCAGTGCGAAAGGAGTGGCCGAACATCGCTGCGCTTCCTTCTCCTCGCCAAGGGCCAACAGCATCCCTCCTTACCTGGTTGATGTCAAAAATGTCATTCACAGAGGTGAAGGATACCGAGGGAGTGCCTCGGGGTCATTCCCCTCCCCCTCCAAGGATGACGTCATTGATGTCGACTGGGGAATCCATGAAAGCAACACAAGCCTTGACTGTAAACAGGGCAACGTTTTCTTCTGAGAACGCGACCGCTGAGGACATTGATGTAGACAGGACTGGACTGATGTTCCCAGCTCAGCGCAAGTTCGTTGCCACACGATCCCCACCACCACCACACAGGCAACAGTCTCTACCACAACAGCCACAACAAACAAAGGACAGACAAGAGGAGGAGGAACGTCATCAACGGTCGGAACAACAAGGGCAAGAGCAGCAGTCAGAACAGGAGCGACAACATCAGCAGCAACAGCGACATATTTTTGTGCCTAACCAGACCTCACTGCCACAGCCACAAGCTCAAAAACAATCTTTGCAATTGCGGCCACATCCGAAAACAGGCGAAGGAGGAGGGGAGGGACAGGGGCAGCAAGCAACACATGAAGCCTTCGAACAACTGTTACGCCGATTTTTGCAACCACAACCTACACCGTCACCATCATTCCGAGGACACCAAAGAACAGAGCAAGAAGAAGAAAGACACGATCCGCACGGACAACAATGGCAACAGCAACAGCAACAGCAACAGCAAGTGCAACTGCGACTGCAGCTGGAGGAGCAAGATCGGCCACAGCAGAAGCAGAGACAGCAGCAGATATATTTGGCTAAACTGCGTGCGGCCAGCCGCTATCAGTCCTTCTCTGAGATGATGCCAAAGAGGCCACCCTTGCTTCTAGAGCAGCCTCAGAGCCCTCTCTACTCCCTGTATATATTGCTGCGGACGGTGAAACTTCCACTCGACCTCCTCCTGCAACGAAAAAAAGATGTCTTGTTGCGAGGACAGGTCCAGGCTGAGGTCAAGGGTGTTGAGCAGGACCAGCTCAACATCGGAGAGGCATGGCGGAGCTGCGCCATTGTTGGGAACAGTGGCTCTCTTCTTGGATCACGGCGGGGGTGGGAGATTGATCATCACGAGATGGTGATGAGGCTGAACAATGCTCCGACGATGGGATTTGAGAAAGATGTGGGAGGGAGAACTACCCTCTCCCTCATCAATGGTAATCTGCTTCATGCTTGCGCGGAGAAGCCTCTATGTCCCTGTTTCCCATATGGGCCCAACGTTGGGCTCATCTCTTATGCCTGCCAGCCAGCCCACTGGGATGACCCCGGTCGCTGCACCGAGTCGCATTCAGACTCCTTTATTTATATGGTTGACGACAACCTGCAGGCCATTTGCAACCGGATAGTAGTCGAGCTCACACGCGCCAGACTGGCGAGCCGAGGCGAGACTTTGCATGCCTGGGTCCGACGGAAGAAGACCACTATACATTTCTCGACGGGGATGCTGGCTGTCTTATCTGCAATAGCAATGTGCCAAGCAGTCGATCTTTACGGCTTCCAAGGGGACTCGGAGCAGCACCATTACTTCGAAAATGTCACCTTGCATGAGATCCCCGACCATGATTACGAAGCAGAAATGACCTTTTTCAGGCTACTTCAGGAAGGTCCTCAGGATCAGATACCCTTGATTGGTTCCCATAGCTTCCCTTTCCCACTTGTTGCACTCATCAGCTAGTGCAGCTTGGCTACGGTCTTCACCTTAATACAACGTACGGTCATTATTTCTGTGTATCTAGACTCAAAGTTGCACCGAATACAGCTATAATGACCGTACATTGTACTCGGGTGAAGACGGTTACCATAGCAAAGTGAAGATGCAAAGCACCTGTTCGTCGTTGCAGGGGTTGACTTTTCTTGGCCTCCTGGTTTTTCAGAGGCTCTATCTGAACCATCACTCTTTTGTCACGAATCCGAAAGTCCATTTTTCTTCAGCACGTTTTTGCGTCTAGCCTCACGTAACATGGAAGTGTGTCTAGGGTACTAGCGCCTGGACTCCATGACTTCCGCCAAGAACTCCCTCATTTAAATCGTCAGTACATCGGCCCACGCAAACTTGAGAATCGAAATGGAGCCAATCCGAAAGTTTCAGGGGCTCGGCGCTACCAGACGACAATGGCCAGCGGCACCAGCCAAAACGGGGAAAGCAATGCACCGCTGGGATGCACTGGTCCTTTAAACCGCCACTCCAAAAAGAGGCTCGAATGTACTGGTCCTTTAAACCGCCAGTACATCCGTGCCTCTTTTGTATGGAGTGGATTCCCCCCTGCGCACCACTCTTTGCCCGAACACCAGCGTGGCGTTTTTGTTTCGGTTCCGGCTGGCGCCGCTAGCCATTTTCGTCCGGTTTCCCCGAGCCGCCGAAATTTTAGGAGAGGCTGAATCGCGATTCTCTAGGTGGCTGGGGCCATCTACTGGTGGTTTAGACCAGCACACTGTCATAGCACACTGCGACTTACGGTCTTTGGCGGACCCGCTATGTTGCAAGATAGCTATCGGCAGACAAGCTCGGCAGCCTTTCAGCTCTACGGGCCGGCAGAAGCATATTTCAAATCCCCTCAGGAGAAAGGCAGATGGAGCCATTAGGTAATGGTGGAAGGTAACTTTCTCTTTGCAATCAGAGGAACTGCATAGTTTGTGCATAAACGAACGGCCATTCATCTAGGAAGATAATGATGGCCTCACGAGCTCAGGATTTGGAGGTGCTGGTGGCTTAAGGCCGAATGATTGGTCGTCCAGGATGGCTTCCTGGGGTATGCGCTTCAGGGGATGTCTTGGAACTGGATTCTGAATCCCAACACAACAAAGCAGCCAAGGTGAAAACTTTTTCCCTTTCAATGTCCTATAATGTACTGCTCTTCGATAATCTGAGTTGGCTTATACACACGACACAACACGTGCACATCCATGCCCACACACATATACGCTGTGTGTGTGTGTGTGTGTGTGTGTGTGTGTGTGTGTGTGCGTGTGAGAGAGAGAGAGAGAGAGAGAGAGAGAGAGAGAGAGAGAGAGAGAGAGAGAGAGAGAGAGATGTTGTTCATCCTGTGTGTGCAAGGGCAGGTGATTCTTTATTAGTGCGCAAGGGAGGGCGACTGCTTGGGTGTGCGCAAGGGAGGGCGGCTTGTTTTGTGTGCACAAGGGAGGTTGATGCCTTGTGTGTGCACAGCACCACACTTTGCAAAGAGTGTTGGCTCACGCCGGTTCAGACCGCCCAGTGGCCAAAAATACAAATTTGCCGCTTCGCGTCTAGAGTCCACACCAACACAAATTTGCATCAGGAAAAAGAGGCTTACATGTGGTGGTGGTCTGAGCCCCACTGCTTCTGAGTCCCCCTTTTGTTTCCTCTCTTCTTTGAACTTTTGGCACGCAGTGTGATGCCAACAGGCTCGGGTGTACCGGTGGCAGGCAGGCATGTGTGCCCGGCCAAACATAGGGGGGAAAGGGGGGGGGAAAGTGGGGAGGGTGGGAAGGATGGGGTGCAGCTTGCACCTTGACTATTCTGACATGGCTTTACTAATTCTGACCTTGGCTATTTGGGAGAAAGGGGGGGGGAAGGTGGGGAGAATGGGGTGCAGCTTGCACCTTGACTATTCTTTCATGGCTTTATCCCTACATATATAAGAATCGCTAATTTTCGGCCTGTGACATTCAGACGATCGGGCCCCTGCGATTTTACACTCCGCGACGGTCCCGATCGTCTGCTGATCGTTTGCTCTTAGAAGTTGAACCGTCGCGGCGGCTCCGCGCCAGGGCCTGTACTGGGCCCATGCGCCAGCGCCGGTACCAAA